ACCGAACTGCACCTGCACGACACTTCACTTTCAGCGATGCCGCATCCTGAAATAACATTACCAATTCGCCGTGTTTATGAGATACTCAAACAGGGTATGACAGTGCGAGATATTGCTAACAGTAATGTAGAGTTATTATAAATGCGTGTCTGTCTGCGTGTCGATAGATTGACTACAAAGAAAGTCGGCATTATTGAGAAACGCGGATGTACAATGACGTTCAGAAATCCTTTCCCACCTACTAACAGTCACCTTTGTTTTGATAGTGTAATTGCGACAAATAAGTTCACAGGCAACCTAATGTTACCAGCGAAACTTGTGTGGTCGTTATCACACATCAATAAGGGAGATCCTGTTTTCAGTGAACAGCGGCACAGTGGCTACGTATCACCCCAGCAATGTACTGATGTAGGCTGACTAGAAGTTTAGTTTTACCGATATTATAACTGATTCAAGGGTATGGTGTGAATTTGTTCATTGCTTCCTGTTTTCATCTTCGTGTTCAAACTCGCTACGTCTGAGTTGGAGAGAGAGTTGGTCAGTGGGATGACCCTCCTTCCTCTCTTGCCTTCAAAACTCCTCGAGCCCATTTGTTCCAATTCCAATTGATAGACTCAATTGAAGCTTGTTCCTTGCTTTCTGCGTGAAGAGTTTGGAAAGCTCGATTCTTCGAGTCTTAGCCCTTTCCTGCTCAAGAAGGGAATCGGGCATGCGCTGGTCGAGGTAGGAAAGAGCTGGTGCTCGAAAACTGAGCGGAAGTTGCCAATGTTAATAGCATTTACCCAGTTTCTAGGTTACTTACCTTCAATACACGGTGATTTTTTCTCGAGTGTCTGTGAAACAAACTTTATAGCCTTCCACTATTATCCATTATCCGTCAATTCTGACATCTTTTAGCAGCCTAATTCCCTAATATGTTGGATTAATATCAGTCGAAATAATTAGGTGAACGTACTTGTTCTATTACATCGCAAACACAACAGTACATTTCCCTTTTTTCCTTGCTATCTGTCACCTTATCAGTGATAAGGGCATTGAATAGTGTAACGGCGCGTCTTCCAACACCATCGACTTTTGGATATAATATTTTCGAGCACTCGATAATTATATGATTTTCTTTACAGCTTTCTTGCTTTGACTTTATTCATCATTACTGAACATTTAGGACTTGAATTGAATCACATAATCATGTTATATAAACTTTTCTGAGGTGCAAGCTATGAAAAAATCCTTTTTTTCTGTAAGATGATGACATTTGGGAGGTGAAAGTGAAGAGGTAGTTAGTGACAAGATATAAGCCACCTTGTAGTGCGTGAAATATTGTCGTGGGCGTTTTTCATTGGGATTTTTTTTATCATTAGAGGGCTGACAGAGGTAGAGTAAAAGTGCGATTGTCCGGATTTCCAGCAGTGAGTATTGACATCCAGTCCATCTAGTTCTGTTTTTTACCCTTATGATCCTAATTCACATGATCGCTCGTACATTGCTACTTTTCTGTAATATTTCAATAGCTAGTAGCAAGGTTTGTGACTGTTATACGATTCATGGATAGATCCCGTCCAGTCCGGCCTTGATTGCGTTTTTCAAGGGCTTATTATCTGGAATCGAGGTCATTTGGAGAGATAATAGGAATCTACTGTTCATTTCTAATCATGGTGGGTCGGGAGGCGCCTTGTGGTTCTTGAGATGCTACTGGTTGACCGCATGGACAACTTTGTTCCAAGGGAGGGGTGAGGGGGGGGGGGGGGGGGGGGGGNCTGACCGTTGCTTCACTAGACCGTCTCTGCCATTGTCCAAGAATCGCTGGACGATTCTTTCTGTCGAAGGGATGCTCTCTCTTCTGCATCCTTGTTGTACTGTTTTCGTATTCTTCCGCATCTACACTTGATGATTTGAAAAGAAAGAACAGTAGCTCTTAAAATGAGTAAGGGCAGGCGTGGGCCACCGTTCGGATTACTACCTACATGTATGATCATTAGCTACTTGTCTTGAATTTAGTTGTCTCAACCATTTTCAACTCTCCATCCCATATTTGATGGCGTACATTGCACAAAGGATAATAGTTAGGGGAGGAGGTGATGAAGTGGCAAGTGGCGCACTATCTCACACGCACGGTAAGGGGTTCGAATTCCGGATCGATATCCGCCTTAGAAAACCAAGCCTTCCATCTCTCCCGGGTCGGTTAGTTGGTACCGGACTCGTCTGGGAGGATAAAAGTACTGACTCGTACATCGGCTGGCCACCGCAAGACATTGTATAGGCCATATACGCACTCATTACGCCACTACGATTCTGAATGGAAGTCGAACGCTGAGCGCATCCCTTAGATGGGATTAATTAACGCCAAACTTTATCCTTTATCCTTATTTATTTATTTGTGGACAGAGGTGTAGTGGCAATTGGCCCACTGTCGCACGCGCATGGTCTGGAGATCGAATCCCGCATCGATATTACCTAGGCCTAGAAAGATGAAAGCACTGACTAGTAGGCCGGTTACCGCGAGTCATTGTATAGCTACATACGCGTTCACATCGTCACAACGATTCTGAATGGAAGTCGAGTGCGGGAGCGCATCCCTCAGACAGGATAGATTAACGCCAAAACTTTGTCCTCTATCCCTCGACCATTGCGCCAGTGTAGCAGGGTTGACGTAAAGTGGGTGTATATTCATTACAGCAAATGGCTTAGGTTGGTCATGCCCAAAGAAGTATCGGCCGGACGGCCAACAGAGCTTATACTGTTGACGAACGAAAATAACGAACGCATGTAGAAGTTTATAAATTAATGTGTGTAACAGTGCGACAACTGACGTTTGCCTATTGATGAGCTCTCTGCTCCAATACCGTTGCTCTGTGGCCTATGAAGGGCTAATCAAGCTAGAGTCAAAGTCAAAAGCCTTTGGCTAGCCCTTGATACTGCTATATGTATACTTGCGGTCTAGCAGTGGTCAAAATAGAAGAGAACTGTCATTGAAACGCAAATAAATCGATCGGTTACATTTGACAGAACCCTGACGTTGTGTGTGAAGGATTGCGAGATATGTGCGACTTTCTCTGAAGGGCGGAAAGGAAAATCGCTCGCTCAGTGCTTTAACTTTAGCATGGCGACTGTCCGCGATGGCGCCGCTTGACTTATACTCATCGCGAAGAAATGTGGTAAGATGTGGTGGGAATTGTGAGTGATGCGACCAAATTTAATACTTTCTATGTCTGTAAATCACGAAGGTAGGTTCAGACACCCAACTTCATGAATTGCTACGCGCCGCACCTTCGTTTTGTACCGTGACTCAGGAGGGGAAGGGAGTTTTTCTCAGCGTTGCTGCACAGCTATGCCGCTTTCGGCAGATTAGCGTTGTGACGCTAACATAACCTAACCATTGAGGAAGTGTAGTGGCAAGTGGCGCACTGTCACCACGCATGATCCGTTTTTCGAATCCCCCGGCTCGATCCTCGACGAAGCAAACAAAGCCTTTCATTCCTTCGGGGTCGGGTAATTGGTACCAGACTCGTCTGGGGGGATAAAAGTTCTGACTTGTACATCGGCTGGCCACCGCAAGCCATTGCGTAGGCCACACACGCATTCAAATCGGCACTACTATTTGAATGTAAGTCGAATGCGGAGGCAAATCCTAAAACGGGATTGATTCACGCCAAAAACGTTTCCCTTCATCCTTTAACCCCTTAGGAGCGTAATTCGAGCGCGTGATAAGTAAAAGGACAGTTGATCATTGTTCACTTTAATAATTACAAATATCTGGACCTGTGGTTTTTCCGTTCGAAAACGCTCTTACCTTTTCAGATGTTACGGGATATTCATTCCCGTTACAAATATGACGTAATCGGACATTAATTTTCGGTTATATCAAATTTCATTTACTGTTCATAGGATGGCTCTGCTCATGCGTAGTACTATGCGACTAGTGACGCAGCTGGAGCGAGTCGTCTTACCAATAAGGGCGTTCTCCGTCACGCCATCTATATACGCAGGTAAATGTCATGATTTCAAAGAACTTTGTTTTGACTTTTTTGTTAACTGCTATTATTTCGCTGCAATACGCGATATGAGAGTATAACAAGGTTGGCGAGTAATGGACGAAACTTGGGTCTTGGACAGGGCTCGCAGGACTCGAACCCATACTTGTGCTATTCGGGCACCGCGCTCTTTTCCCTTCCGCTACCTACCGAGACTCCGCTTGCCCTTGCCTCACCCTGAATGCTGTTGGAAGCGAGGTCTCGGTAGTGCAGGGGATACGAGCACGGTGCACGGATAGCACAGGTACGGGTTCGAGTACCTCTGAGGCTAAAAGCTTGCCCTTAACTCGCCGACCTTGTGAGAGAATGAGATTGTTTTGTTTAAGCTGTACAGCTTATTAGAAAGACAGAAGGTGGTAGTTAGCGATTAGAATCAGAACGAACCCAGCCAACCTATCCGTTCCACTATTCAAGAATCATATATGGAGAAATCGGTTATCAAAGAGAGTAGTACTGGGGGAGGGGTCCTTTAGGGAAAGGTCATTTATGGAGGGTTCGGAAACTGCGAGTTGTGGTCCTATTTGGTAATGAAGTTATGATATTCTTCCTAATTCTGCTTTGAAAACAGTGCGTTTATTAGTACGAGAATGACTGTAAGGAACGGCATTTTCAACGCCATGCATCCTTATCTCCTTTATGGAGCAGCGGGTGTACAGTTAAGAAAGGCCATGGTATTCACAATCGAGAATGCAGCGGACAACTCTTATACGAAGAATGATTTTTGAGAGTTATTTCGGTTTTTCTGTGAACCTGTGGGGAAACGATTAACAGAATTTCCCAATGTCTGCCATTATTTTCAGAGCGTAAGTACACAAAGAAACATGAGTGGGTTTTGGCTGATGGAGACATGGGCACTGTGGGTATAACGGATTTTGCAGCGGTAAGTTTGAAACCAAGGTTTTTGATTCGATCCACTGCTATTTAGTTACTTAGTTATTTTTCTTTTCACTATTTATTAGTTTTCTCCCGACTCATTGGTTATCACGCTATGTCGTCTCAGTTGTAGACGGGAAACAGGCTATAGCTGAATAAAGTTCACATGAGTGGAGTAGCGCAGTGGATAGTCGGCTACGCCGGCAGATTCTGGATGTCTATGCTTAACTTTTACGACAGCTATGCGTGGTGCTTCAAAACGAAGTGCTACTCGACCACAAGCCCTTGGTTTTGGCCTGGGTTATGCTGGAGAACGGTTAACTCAAATAAGCAGCGCTCTGCATATTCCCAGCATATTCCTTTGAGGAGAAGTGTAGAGTAGTATTTCCTCTGATACTGACGATGTTTAGGTGGAGGAGATGTATTTATTTACATCTCCTCTACCTAGACACCGTCAGTATCAATGCAATGAGCATATAGTCGAATTGGATGAGGAGTGCATGAAAGAGGGAGGAGGGAAACAGTCCTTTTTCGCCTCCTCCAGAATGGTGGCTATCGCATACCTTGAAGCTCTTCCTTGACTTGGCTCGACCTTGTGAACGCTTGCCGACTTCGAGTCGAAGCTCTACTGTACCGACACATGAGAGCGCCATCACCACAATTATAGCCGACTGCTTTGCGGAATTCACGCTTCATTCAACACTAACACAGTTGCTTGTCGTTCAATTCGGACGTAACAGCTAAATTAGTATTACTGCAGGAACAACTCGGTGATATTGTCTTCGTTGAACTTCCGGAAAAAGATGCCAAAATCGTAAAAGGTGAATCAACTGGAGCAGTAGAAAGCGTTAAGGTATGTATTGTCTTGTCTGTATTGTTTCAAACAGAATTTGATTTTCCATAATGAATTGACCCTCCTCACTGTTTGCACAAAATGCCACTGAACTCGTAAAAATTATTTGCTCATTGGCATTCTGCGAAGTATGGTCTCTAGAAAAGAATCATAGAAAACTTAAGTGCCCTTCAATACAGAACATGCTTTTGGCTGTTGGTTAAAGAGAATAATCAAACTAAGACTAAAAAAGTGGACAANTGTTTAGCTCGTTGCAGTACACCATAAGCCCTCTTTTCTTGCCGATGTGAGTCAACCCCTCCATCCTCCTCTTTGATCGGGATTTCAGTCACTGTATCTTCCAGCTTTCAGCTTGCCTCAGTATCACGCGTACACAATTCTTAATCGAAGATGCACTCTCCTATACTTTTGCTACTAAGTATCCGTCTAAGCGGGGGAGCGTTCTTGTGGGTTCGAGCACTCCAACTGTTTCCACTCATGTACTCATCGTGAACGTTGTCTTCACCAAGCTGAAAGGTCGTATTTTTAGTCCACCCCGATTTCGGTTAGAAGTTTCGGAAGTGGTCAAAAATATAGTAGAGAAGAGCCAGTAGAGCGAGAGTGACTTCGAGTGAGTGAATCAAGACTTGAGAATTCTTGAAGAGAAGCATAGAGCTAGAATTTGGGGAATGAAACGCCCACAAAGCTAGCAGTTGTTGTTTTCTGCATCACAAGGTAGTGTAGTTAAAGTGCTCTCTGTTTTCATCTCATCGTTCTTTCATTTGATCCACGAAGACTTCGGATCCCTTTGTTTCATTCGTTGAACTTCTTACTACTAGCTGAAGGCTCTCTTCATTCAAGATCTTAACAATCACAAATTTGCGCCTACTACTTCGATTGACTTTCAGTAATGCTCAAGAAGATAGGTCAAACCCACTGGAGTCTAAAATTTAGTCGGAACAAAATGGCTGTATCTGCTCTTGAACTCATTGCTTGCCTTAGGTATTGATTGATACACGCCAATCGTTTCGCGTAATTACCCCTTACAGAACTTAAATGAGTGGTTTGATATACCCGTTTCACTCTCACTAATTAAAATGCATCGCTGTGACATAAGCTTTCTTTTGTTTTTTTCGCCTTGCGAGTAGTGGTAATCTCTCTGCTAATGATCTGTGAAGTGAGGGAGTGCAATCATATGTGACCGGCTAAACGTTCACGGAACAAGATCTCCATCTATCTCAACCGCTTGAGCACTAATAGCTGTTTCAGGCAGCCTCCGACATCTACGCACCGGTGTCCGGTACAGTAACGGAAAGGAACGAAGTGCTCGAGCAGGAACCGGGAAAAATAAACAAGAGCCCATTTGATGAGGGTAAGATTATGTACTCTTCAATTACTCATTGTGAACTTGTGGAATACTCAAGACTTTTCGACACCGACACCGGAAGACTTGCGGCCACCCTTGAAAGGCTGTCATTTTTGTATTGAGGTTCATAGAGGTACAGGGTGGGTACGCACGATTTCAGAAATCCATAAACTTTGATGCAAGCAAATAGTGAACCCCCCTGTTGACATCACCTATCATGTGGTATGTTCGCGTTCCCTCCGTGTAACGTCTCGATTTTTTAGGCTGGCTATATAAGCTGAAGCTGTCGGACAAAAATGAACTTGGCGATTTGCTTTCTGAGAAGGACTACCAGGAGTTCAAGAAAGAGGATGAAGGGCACGATTAAGTTCATGGGAGCTGTCTTTTTTTTTTAGTGCTTACCTAGATTGTTTTCAATTTGAAAAATGACTATTTGTGCACAAATGGACAATGATGAAATGTAGACGATGTCCTGAGTGGTCTGGCGTCAAATTCCTTCTTCTCCCGTCTGTTCAGTTGAATGTCAGTGATGTCGAATCTACCCAGTGAGGGTCAGAAGTATAAATGCTTGAAAACCATTACTTCCTGACGGAGCTTACTCGGAACACTCTCTTAATCCTCGTTGTCCAGTAGGTNGATGTCCTGAGTGGTCTGGCGTCAAATTCCTTCTTCTCCCGTCTGTTCAGTTGAATGTCAGTGATGTCGATTGTATCTACTCAGTGAGGGTCAGAAGTATACATGCTTGAAAACCATTACTTCCTGACGGAGCTTACTCGGAACACTCTCTTAATCCTCGTTGTCCAGTAGGTGAATCTTCAAGAACGATTAATGTTTAATGTATTAGGAACCTCCATTTGTTCACATCAATATCAATACTAGTTGAGTAGAGCAGAAAGGTGATAAGAATTAGCTATCAGTTACATCGAGATCTACAGTGCGCACGCCCAGAGATTACTTAACTAGTATTGCGATTGGAAATTTATTTTAAGTCGAAGAACTTGCTCGCTTTTATCCTTGGATTTTGATGCTTACATTATATGAACTATGCACTTGCCATGTTCCATGTTGTTTAAGATACGAGTTGAGATGATTCTGTGACAATTATAAAGTTTTATTATGAACCAACAACATTTGTTACATTTCCCACACTAGATGTATATCAATTCAAAGCCCTGCTATAAGTTCTTCATCGATACTTACAATAACAGCTGCATCAGACTGAGAAACGGAACAAACTGACACTAAAAATCAATAAATTAAATAGCCTCGAATATCAATTATGTGTCAGAATCAGAAGGGTCTAGATATGGCCGAACAAAGGCATAAACGAGCATAGTCCATTCAGAGCCAAAGCCGAGAGATCTCATGACATTTTTGCACAGAGTTTGGCTGGTGTTAGGTTTGCAATGTGTAATGTTCGCCTCCGGACTCCCTCATGGTCTCTAAATGAATTGGCATTGGGGCTAGAAAGGGTTTGATCCTTCTTCCCGGTTTGCTGACGCTCGGCAGTGTTCGGGACGGCAGTTTGAGGGTCATTTAAGAACTTTACAGCCCTTCGAATCTCTTTTTTTCGATTGATAAGCTAAACGCAAGGAACAGTCACCATACCATGCACTGGCATGGTGGCTAGATCAAGTTCGGCGGAAGCGATTCAAGCTGTCAATGTTCAATTTGTACGAAATTTGCAACAAGTGCGTGGCGACTCAATGGCGCAGCTCGTGCTGTGGGTACCTTGGCGTTTTCAGGACGGCTACTCATGGACAACGAGAAAAGAGTCAAACATTTTCGAATCGCCTATTGGGGATCATTGAGCACTCTAGTTCATCACAACCGTGGGAGCATTTGATTGTGATAGAAAGTATTGCATGCTCTGGCATAGACCAGAGAACGCGGTCAACTCTGCTCTTTGGGGGTGGGGCTTAGATCTCTCTTACTCACTTCTGCACCACCCGCGAGCAGGGTGTGTTGTGTTGTTTGAATGAATTAATCCTACCACTGAAACGTGTAACTTTTGCTTGTTTGTCAGAAACAAGTAATCTCTCTGATCTTATATAAAGGCGCCACCCTTCCGCCTCAGCCACCACATTTTTTGGTGCATCGACTAAAGCCGTTGTAAGGTCAGCAAATCGCCTGTTTTTGGACACAGTCAGCCCTGATACCGCGAACAATAGATATGTGAGGAACAGCGGTAATGCGTTGTTGTTTGTTGAATTCCTAGCCCAATTGAAGAGACATATCCCGCTTGATTGTTCAAAAGCAGCATATTACTTGCTAATTCCACCGGACTTAGTTTATTTCTTTCATTGCTGAGGGTGAATCGCTCGAAAGCAGCGTAGTTTTGCTAGCTAATCATAGCAAACACATTATTCTGGTAAAACATCGCTCCATAACAGCGAAGTAAGTAAAATAAAGGAGCAAAGATATCAATATGGCACTTTACTTTTACAAGAAATCAGTTATTGTTAGCGCCTTAGCCCTAGCTACACTTTTACAAAAATATCAGTGCTTCGAAGCAAAGATAGAGTATCCGGAAAATGAGGAGGAACTTCACGGAAAAGTCCTAACGAAACCCTTTTATCAACACTTAGTCGTATAAGAACTGCTGTCGAATCTATTCAAAAGAGAGTCGACAAAATAGAGAATCATTATGCTAATGCAGAAAATACCAAAAATAACTCATTGTAGAAGTTCAGGAGATTGAAAAAGAATCTCAATATCCACAACATCTGGCGAGTGCCGAGGCTCTCATTCATTACTAGAAGCTCAGAAAAGATTGATCTCATGGAAACTCGAGGGAGCCGAATTCTGAGAGCACCTCAAGGATGCAGTCATTCAAATCGCCCAATATTACCTTAAAGGCACAGTTAACGATAATTTTGATGTACCCGTTTTTATTCGAAACGGAAGTGTAGATTGGGAATAGTTCATCGGTAGTGAAGAAAGAGAGAGAATTTGCCGATTTCGAGAAAATAAGCTCCTCAAAAGTAGGGAAAATGGAGGTTGGACGAGATTGTCATGATAGAAATAACATGGTAAGGGTATTCGGACGAGGCTTCAGTTATTGCAATTGCACAAAGAGCTGTCTACATCAAGTCGGAACTTTCGAACTGTCTTTCATTGTCGCTATGGGTTATACAAGTTGCTTGAACTTCCTACACGGATTCCCTTGTTATCGGGGCAGCCTCTACATTGCCGGTGAAACTCCTCCGAGGAAACAAACGCGCCAACCTCTGAGCCTTTATAACTCCCTAGCTAGGCCGTATCCAACCTAATAGTGCCAAATATGGTATACGGGGGAGCCTCAAATTCTTCCTGTGGGGAAAATCTCAGACACCATTTTTATCGTGAACTGTGCCTTCAAAGAAGTTCCCAGGATACTGAGCTGTTGTGATTCCCTCATTCACGGTCGAAATAGCCATTAAAGGGATACAACCGATAGCAAAAAATTATGAGTGGTCAACAGCTCAAAATTAGTGCAAAAATTCTTCGACTCGAAAGCTGCTGCGCGAAATGCAAAAAGCTGTGATGATTGCTTGGACTCGATCAAAGTACTCGTGAATCAAACGATTTCCACTGACTATGACATCAGAGCCACTAGCGATCCGCACTTGTAAACTAAAAGGTCTCTACTGACTATGGCATGGAGCCACTAGCGATCCGCTGTGGACCGAAACAGTCATCAAAACGTTCCCTTTCACAGTAGTAAAGGACGTCCTAACAAAATATCAGGACAACAAAAATATTACAATGGGGGGTCTCATTACGCAGTCAGAGAAAGAAATATCCTCCAAACTCTTTGTTTAGATACATTGGAGCTCTAACAGAGAGTATATAAAGGAAACTAGATCTAAATACTTATGATCCTAGAATACAAAACCAGAGGTTCACCCAAACCTGTGACTGCTCGGACGCACAATCACCATTCTGCACTGTGCAGAACAGTCACCGTCTCTCGAAGGAGGTGCGATATAAAAAAGGAAAAGACCAGTCGGGATCAACTCTAGAATCCCACCGGCAAATCCCAGGCCGACAAGAAATGAAACCAGGAGGTGCTCTCTTTTTTCGATACTGGAGTTGATAAAACCATAATTGAGGAAAACCAAGCAAATGATTTTGAGCTTCTTAAGCTCCTGACAGAGACCTGCATAGTGTCAGGCATTAGAGGACACGTATAACGATTCAATAGCACAACTGTGCCTCTAGAAGTTCAATCCGCATACAAAAAAGGAGTGCGACCGAACCAGTCATAACAGGATGTTTCTCTTCGGTCACGTTAACTCAGCAGGACGCCAATTTCCTCGAGCAGCACCAAAGCTGCATCGCAAATTCAAACTATCAAGGAGAACAGCTAGTACAAAAATCTTAGTCGAACTTGACAGATATTATGATTCAGTTATAGAAGATGAGGTTCCACAGAGCACACCTTCAGTGCTGCGTATTGCAGGAACCTATTCGGGCCAGCAATCCATGATCGCGGCGAGTCAGATAGCCCAGCAAAATGCCAGCCTATTTCCCACGGGTTGACGACTATTCATGAAAGTCAGATGTCAGAGAAACTCTTTGAACTTGAGGACCTCGGAATTTTTCAATGGCTGTGCTTCGGACGGTTAAGTTCAGCAATATTTCAGAGGCTACTCGAATTCAATGTCGTTTGATAATGGCTATGTCACAGCACCATTTCCCCTGAAATGCAATGTTGCGCAATTAGAAACAACTACTCTGTCGCTATCAAGCAGGCTGGCATCTCAGAATCCTATCAAGCAGGCTGGCATCTCAGAATCAGTTGAGCATGCACCGTGACCAGACACTGGTATATTCTAATTTCATTCTATCCCAATCGGTATATCTAATTCTCTCTGGGTAAAAGATACTAAGCCTATTATGAGGTCGAGCATGATAGAGTACCGCTTTAATAGCTCACCATTCGGTATCACTGCGTCATCCAGTATACTGAATATGGCGTTTCTAGCATTTTTACGCTCGGAGGGGACCGAGCTATCGGCAGAAATAAGCAGAAATTTATACGTAGACAACATACTACTACTCTAAGCACAAACTGAAGGGCAGCCTCGAAAAATGCAGAGAATCGAAGAGCTTGTTCTCAAAAATCGGTATAAATCTC